AGAAATTTGCACTTTTTCAAAAAATTTGCATTCGTCATTTTTTCACAAAGCGAGCATTTACCGAAAAACGACCGGATTTCATGCAAAAAACCGATAATCACGCACCTGGATGTCCATGCGGCTCTCTTATGCACTACCTTCATCCCAACTGACACCCTTTCTCCTGCATGCCGGAAGGGGCCAAAGCACGGCCAATATGGGCCCAAGTGTTAGGCTACAGCGTAGGGACCATTCTTGCTAATAGCGATCTGCGAGTTTAGTACAAAAACGCATGATCGCACTGGAGAGTCTGGTGCGTTCCAGCCTGGGTTTTGATCGAATGCTGAGGCGTATTTTAACAAAATTAGTCTAAGACTGCTGAAAATGCTTTGCTTCATAAAGGACCTTGTTTGATAGTGTTGGAATGGAACCGCACTTTTAGAATATGAGACCAATGGTTAGTTAGCAGTCCGAATCCGCTGTAAAACATTAATCAAATTTAGGTTTATGATTATGTGCCAACTTGGTCGCACATTGTTAGTAATCGACGAAACGCCTGGGAAGAAAAAGCAAAGAATACAGAAGCCCGCGTCCAGATGCATCCTTCCTCGAAAGTAAGGAGCTGGTGTGCTATTTTTCTGCGATCCATAAAATTGGCCAAAAAATCGTGCTACCACCTGCATTTCAGAACCTACCCTGCTCTATGCTAAAAGTACTGTTTTAGGCGTTTTTGTTGCATACAAATACTTATTTTCGCAGTAAGAAAAGCTCACGTCAAAGGACGCAAAAGTTTATTTTATAGGCAGAGCATATTACTTGCTTTGCTGATAAACTGTTGGCGCGGCACATTAATAAGTGGTACCTGCAAGAAAGTGAGCGACCAGTTGGGTGACTTCCAGAGAGATGGCGCACGTGGCACAAAAAACTAGAGGAAACATCGGAGCCAAGGACCCAGCAGTTGCCACGCAGTATAGGGATCCCATGTTAGTGATTTTACTGGGATGCTGTCTCTCAGCAGTATCGTAACGCGGTACCCGCACAGCGATGCCATGGTCTTCGCATATACAAACAGTACCGATTTACAGTAAGTCGTAGAGGGATTGGTTGTTCCGCTGGAGCCATTTGTCACTGTGCCGCTACCACTTGTCAGTCTGTTGGTGCCACTTGTCACTGCTCCCTACCGGCGGGCAGACAGCACTGTGACGGTACGAATCGTAAAGAGATTGGTTGTTTCAGTCGGATAACCAACCTCTCTACTATTCGTTCATTGGTCCCGAGATGGTGAACTGGCAACTCATCCATCAATTTGCTTCTGTGCAGTCCTCGAAAGAGGAGATATCGACAGTCTAGCCAGCGAATTTTTGCTTCTGGGACTACAACACAAGCCATTTCCTAGTTTCTTCGCTTCTCACAGACAGTGAATATGATGAAAGGGGTTTTGATAAATTATTCACATAGTCATTATTCTGCCTCAATGCATTTTTGTTCTATTATGATACAGAATGCGATTTAAGTTCTTGCAATTATACCAGGAAAAAATTAGATCTTTTGTTTTTCAAAGATCCCATCTATTTTTTTCTTAAATTCTGACAGTAGCTTATAAATTCGTAACTACTGCATGCACATGTATGTGATATTTGAAAAGTGAGCATGTTTTAGATCGCACCAGAAGAACGTCCACACTGGTACAACAAGGCTAACCAGACACATAACCTATGGCAGAATGAAGCCAATCGGCTAAGCCGGAGCGGAGCAGGATTCGGCGACGCTACTCAGACCAGCTACGATTACGTCCATCATGGTGAGAGTCGAAAAAGTCGCGAGGAATTCGGCAGTCAAAAAGGACGTACGGAATACAGTACTGATGATAGACCAGGTGGCAGTTACGATGGTGGTTTTGTCTCACAGACTCATTATACAACACAAGCTGGTCGTAGAACGGAGAATGGACAGTGGCGAGAAGGCCAGTACTACAGTTCTTATGCAGCTAGCCAAAAGCAGCAATATAAAACAGAGCATGGAGCGCCTACCCCGCCAGGCACCTACAGAAGTTATCCTGCTGCTATACCCATCAGTCCACCACAAGCGGACTCTTCAAGTAAGCAGCAGCAACGGCAAGAGCAGGATCAGCTCACATCCGGCTGGCAGTATCAAAGGTAAAAACTCTTTCACAAGCTCTAAATAAGCGAATAAATAAAATGCGCACTAAGCGGTTACCCCAATTAAAGATCTGGCCCGTGCGAGTCACTTTTCGGCTTAAAAAAATCTAATGGGTAAAAGCAAAGGCTTTTTCGAGGCTTAAATCGTTCTGAAATTTTTTCACTCCATAGTTTGGGTTTGGCAGCTTTTGATTAAAAAATTCCTCTTGTGGAAGTCTTGATCTCGAAAGATGATTTTACGGCCAATATGTTCTGGCGTGAAGCTATCCAGTTATAGTACTAATCCAGGCTGGAACGCACCAGGCGAGCCGGTGCGATCATGC